TGATTTAAATAGATAAACATCTCTATTCACAGATTTCAGTTTTGCACACAGTCGCACAATTGTAACGGTGTCCCATGGCCTGGTGGCTAAAGCTTTCGCTTCACACGGCAAGGGTCTAGGTTCGATTCCTAACTAGGATAGAATCATTAGTCGTGTTTCTTTACACCGGTTGTATATGTTCCCCGTCACTCAAATGGGTACCTGGGTGTTAGTCGACTGGTGTGGGTCGCATCCTGGGACAAAACTGACCTAATTTGCTAGAAATGCTCTACATAACAAGCGGCTTTCTATACAGAAGTATGTCATTGATGTCAGCTAGGACTGTATACCTTGTACATGTAGAAATAAAGATATTATTATTATTATTATATAAAAAATGGGCAGTAATCGGAGTTAATTTATATAAAAATCAGGCTCTACCAGAACAGTAGAGTCGTAAGTGTAAAAAGAAAAGTTTGAAGAGGATCCTCTCCACGCTCCATAATGATTAGATCTCTCTCTCTCTCTCTCTCTCTCTCTCTCTCTCTCTCTCTCTCTCTCTCTCTCTCTCTCTCTCTCTCTCTCTCTCTCTCTCTCTCTCTCTCTCTCCTGGCCGTCTGGCTGGAAAGAAAAATAGTCTAGCTATTTTTTTTCCCTTGATTCAGACTATTTAAGTTGTTTTTTCTCTCTCCCTTTTTCCCTCCATCTGGTAAGATATAAAGGGATTTTAACAGCGGTTTTGCCTGTGTTGTAGACGCACGGTATTAGATCCCTCTTATTTCAGCACGGTGGTAAGACGTCGCCTTTTAAATACTCTCAGGCCCATAATTTCTCCCTTCCTCTTTATCTCTTTTTATTTATAGTTGTTGAGTCAGTGTTGCTAACTTCTCTGACGAGCCTGCACTCCCACCTGTCCTCTTTCGTCTCTTGTCTCGTATGATACTGTCGCTCTGTGTACCTAGGGCGAAACTTTGTCTCAATAAAAGCTTGTTTTGCACCTGTCTTGTCTTCATTAATGTGTCTGTTATTCTTTGATGAATGTTTATTTAGGTTCGATAAATAAGTTTAGATTTTTTACAATTGTTTTAGATTAACTTGCCTATTACATTAATATTTCTTACAGAAATATGCAGCTTACAATTATTAACACTGAAAAAAATATTAAATGAATGTTGCGTGAAAATCAGTGTACATAAATGTATTAGTTTCATAATTGCGTTTCCTCTACTTTTATTAACATTAACAAATAAAAAGTTAAAAAAAATGAATACGTCAGTTACATGAATATCAGTTTCATGGATTAGATTTAGATTTTGTCGCCGAAGCGGCTAGTTTGTGCCATCCTCTGGATGGTAGCACCAGGACATATGGATACACAAAAACTAGGAATTAGTCCCCAAAAGGGTTAACGGGGTACATCTAGATTTATATATACATTTGTCTTATCTGTTGCAGTCCAGTTTAGGATGTTGGCTTAGTATGTTTGGTATATTATTTTCGTTAATAAAATATCTTCACATATGAAGGTTATTGTAATATCTCTGTATTCCTCAGTAAGTGAACAGTGAAGCACAGCGTTCAAGAAAGTAACCATATGGCTGCCCACATATTTGCGTTTAGTTTGGTTAGTCTAAATATAGTTTCTACAACATTAGTCAGTCTGTTCACATTGCAAATTGCTTCATAAAAATACTTATATACGTTTATGTTATCGTAGTGACATCTGCTCAGGCTTCTAACAGTATTCCTACAATATTCGCCTTCATTATTTACTTCTCTCCTAATATTATTGATAATGGGTTATTACATGTCAAGTAGATCAGTCCCAGGTACCCACAACACCACACACACACACACACACACACACACACAACACACTACACACACACACACACACACACACACACACACACACATAAATATATATATATATATATATATATATATATAATATATAATATATAATATATAATAATGATATATATATACATACATACATATATTTACATTCATGATTAGAATGAAAGGCAGGAGAGCCACAGGTGTGTCCAGGGACAACAGTGGAGCCGCCAAGACAGGTGGAAGCCAGCAACCCGAGGCACCGCCATGCGGTGAACTGAGTACCAGAAGTCATGGAAATTATTTTAAGAAAGGATGAAAACGACAGATATGCCCATAAGCGTCGCAAGCATGGCATTTAACAGTAAAATATAACCCATATTTACTTGCCAATAATCATCTTAGGACTGTCAAATGTTCCTCCACTGTGATTGAAAGAACAAATGGCAATAATGTCGTCCTTATGGCACCATTAAAAAAAAAAAACATGTTTTGGGGGTTTCCATTATTCATAAATAAATACTTACGCTCATATAGCCGCCATGATTGACTAGTAATTGTTTTTTTCAGTTAACAAATCCTAGGAGATCCAGAAACTTTTTGATAAACAATCAAATAGCGATCATGCCAGGATTCTTTTTGTGATGTTGCCACTGTTATGGGAAGCGTTGAAGTTGAAGTGCGAAAGGCCTTGACCAACATCATTCTTCCCCTGTGGTTGCTTTGCATTGTTGATCGCTTGTGGACCGTTGGTCTACTTGATGTGGATTGACCCCTAATGCTAAACACAGATCTACCAAAGTTGGATTAGATTAGGTAAGATTTGTCAGGAAACAGGACAAGCGTTTCCTGACGCGGGTCTTAGTCATATGATGACCCGCCGCTGGAGCATTTGTTCATCTGACGAAGGCCTTCAGCTGGCTTACCGGTCCACGCCTTTAAAAATTGGGGTTATAAATGTCGTGTATACCAAAGTTATAAGATAAATTACAGTCTGCATTTTCTTTCTGGGTGCTTTTGTTGGATAACTTATGAACTTTATCATTAACCAGTAAGTCAGTGTGTGATGGAGTCCTTAAAAGAATACACATTAATTCCCTTCTGTCTGTTTTTTGATTTATTATAATTGGTTTCTCCAGTGAGCATGTCAGTCATTATGCTCATCATGTGCCCTCAGTAATGACACAGAAGCGGTAATTTACAGTCAGAGTCAAGATCAGTGTCATACGTTAACTTTAGTGTAATTGGGATGGTAATTCATATGTCTAACCTCAACATAGTAAGAGATAGGATTTTGTTCGGATTTTTAACCCCGGAGGGTTAACTGCCCAGAATAATCCAAGAAAGGCAGTGCGTATTTTCACTGGGGTCCTTAATCTTGTCCCCCCATGATGTAACCCACACCAGTCGAGTAACACCCAGGTACCTACTTGCTTTCTAGGTGAACGGGGACAATAGGTGTAAGGAAACGCCCAGTGTTTCAACCCTTGCCGGGGATCGAACCATGGACACTGTGAAGCGAGATTATTGCCTTCCAGGCCATAGGTATTATATGAGAATGTGGCAATAAGAGCAGATTCATCCCTGCCAGAGGACTCGTGCTTAGATTCCTCAATGTATATACTTTGTGATATATCGTTATTAACAATTAAGCGGGATATTTCTTGAGCAGCTGTCTTTGCAAGTGTTTTAAGGAAGAGATTAGTAGTGACGAGCTGCTAGGGAGGGGCTTTCGGATATATAAATGTTATATAGTTATTTATTTTCTGCTTTTAGTCCCGTTAAGTGATAACGCCGGGGAGGGATTCATATTCCAAGGAATTGTACCCGACCTTCACTTGTCTCAATACTTTCAACGGTGTCCCGTAGCTCGATCGCTAGTGCACTCAGCTCACACACTGAGGTCCGGGGTTCGATTCTCCTCCGGTACGGCTGGAAAACATTAGGGACGTGTTTCCATGAGACACCTGTTGTCCCTGTCCCTGTTCACCCATCAGCTTAAAATGGATACCTGGGTGTTAGTCGACTGGTGTGGGTCACATCCTGGGACAAAACTAAACTGACCTAATTTACCCGAAATGCTCAGGATAATAAGGGGCTTTCTATATAGTAGTGTCATTGATGTCAACTAGGCCTATATACCATGTACATGTACTTGTAGTAAATAAAGATACGTAAGTCTGCCGTCCAGACCACTACCAACCAGCGTTTAAGTCTCCCTCTCCTCCGCATTTTCTCTCACTCGTTTTCTGTGAATCCTCACAAGCCTGCACGAGTGAAAATTGTGTATTCCATTTTTCATTTATTATTTTACTCATTTTTATCTTTGGTAATTGGGAAGGATGTTTTCCGAAATAAAGTCCGGCGGCATTAGTTTTTTACCAAAAGTAAAACCCAGATATTTTTACGACGACTCTGTTGTTTACGGTATTTTGGGGGACACTGCTCTAACAACAACGTACAATACGTCCCATTCTCCCCCCCCTACCCCCGTTACCCCGGTGAATGTTTTAACTTGTTAAGGTCACTTAAATTATTGCTTTTTCTTTTCAGTTACTGTCATCGTCATTGTATCTGCGCCCTAACCATAATAGCTAATGAGATAAAATAATGAATTGGTTAAGAAAATAGAAAATCTAGTAGATGTGACTGACAAAGCAAACATGTACGTTAGTTATTGGTTGTCCAGTGCACTTGGGAATAACACGGCCTGTTGGTGTAAATTTATTCAGGAGATATTATTATACTATGAAGGAGATATACTAGGAATAAGGTAAAATGAATTATTTATATTTTCATGTGTGTTAGCTAAAAAAAATAAAAAGATCATTCTCCTTCCTTTTGTCGCTACATTCATTAGGCACCTTTTGGCTCTTTTTGAACTGGTTCATGCTATGACTGTTTTTGAAACGTACAAGCAGTCTGTTTCAATCCTTTATTGATGTACAATGAAAGGTGTTTGAAGCCTGGCCAATGAATGTGGGTACTACAAATTGTGCTCTTTCTTTCCCTAGTATATACTACGATTGCTTTGGCTCCCAGCCATGACAAAATTGGCAGCAATATATTCTGGACACTGAGCAATTTTATAAACTTGATGTGTGTGTTTGTATTTTTTTTTTGGGGGGGGGAAGACTCGTATATTCTTGACTCCAACTAAACATGGTTAACGTTTTTTTCAGGAGAACGTGTCAGTGCCGAAGCCTGAAGAAAGTTTCGCGTGGAAGGACATCAACGTGGAGAAAGTGGCTCGATCCCCTACCTCCTCGCTGCCAAAGGTGCAGAACCCCACCGTCACACTCCTCCAGAAGAAACGAGGTCAGTGCCCGTCCCTACTCACCTCAGAGATTTGTGTGCCATGCTAGGAGTATCCCTCTAAGCATTCCACTTTAAGCGATAGCTTGGATAGGCTGCTACGGGCTCTGTCAGCTTAGGCTGCTGTGGACTTTGTCAGCTTAGGTTGCTATGGGCTTTCGGTAAATGTGATTTGAAGCACATCTAAAGATTATGACAAAAAAAAGACGATGTAACGTACTTTGCATTCTTTGGATGTGACTTGCTACTGACTCAGTGTGACGTAACTAACACACTGTTGACACCTCTGTGTTATGTCCCCCAGAAAGTGACTGTAAGGGATTTCCAACACAGCCGATGGCATAAGGAAATAATTATAAAGCTTTCTTGGCTCCAAGTAGATTAAGGGAGAACTCGCATGTGTATTGAGTTGGCGCTAATCCATTAACGTCAGGAATTTTCTTTGAGCTAAAAATAATAAGACTTGCAACATGTTCATTAAATTATTTAATTAAAATCATGTTGACTTACGCATAAATATATTGAGTCAAGATTGCTCTATATATATACAGTTCATAAGCTTTTTTTTTATTATTTTGAGATTAACATATTTATACTTTTTCTTCGTTTATGACAATGACGCACATGAGTTTAGCACAGAAGTGCTAAACTCATAATTTACTAATGATGCATGTCGAAACCAAAAATATTGTTTTGTTGGTGCTAATCCGCTCAACGAGGGTGCCACGATACCGGTGAAGGGCTCTTGATCTAAGAAAGTGGAGCTACCGTTCCCGTAAGATGAAACCTGATTACTTCCCATTCCTAAGTCGCTGTATGATCCTTACGGGTTTAGCCCTTCCCCATAAATATAATAACTATTATATTTTCCTTACCATGGCAGAACTCAGTCATACTGTAGATTCATATGTCTAAAAAAAATAATGTTCATAATAGTATGCCGCATACAGCATCAATATTTGACCTAGAGGAGATACTTTTGCACATATTAGAATGTGGTTTAAAGGTACTTTTGCACATCTTGGAATGTGATTTAAAGGTACTTTTGCACATCTTGGAATGTGATTTAACGGAGGATTCTTTCCTCTCCGTTTTGATATTAGAGTAGCGCTTTGGAATGTGTAAAGGAGATAAAGCATTTTTAAGTGACTGAAGTATCGCAGTTTAACTAGACTAAAATAGCGTAGTTATATTTCAGTAACGTAGTTAAAATATAATAGCGAAGTAATAATTGAGAAGTAGCATAGTTAATTAAATTTAAAACATACACATAAACTATACTGAAATTTCATAGTTATACTCTCCTAAAATAGTGCAGTAAAATCCTGTTAAAATAGAATAGTTAAAATTAAGGAGAAATAGTGTAGTTAAACCGAATTAAAATATCTTAGTTATACTATTCTGAAACAGCGTAAACCGTACATAATTTTTACTCCTGTAGTAGTTGTTAATGACTGTTTAATGCATTAGCTCAATATTTTTAACGTTTATTTGTTTTGCGGCAAATATTAGGCGTTATAACCATGTTCGCTGCCTGAATCTTAGTGTATGTTTATATAAACATTATTTTTTGTAGTTAATTTGGGATAGATTAACGAATATTTTTACGAAGTGTTTCCGTATTGTTTCTAACTGCCTATATTAATTGCTGTAAAATATTGGTTTTTACTAAAATAATGTAAGTATATAGCTATTTTATGAACAGTTTTTTTGTTTTGTTTTTGCAAAACTCTTCATTGTTTCCATTTTTGTTAAGTTTGCTAAGGTAAAATGTCTTAAACAGTCAGTCTGATATATACACAGAGAAGGTGTGTGCTCTCACTGTATATATGCTGAGAGTTTAATCCCAATTTTAGAGGTTTAAATCATCCTTGTGTGGTGATAGTGTACAAGTAACATGCAGCTTTTAATGACCCTCATGTAGGCGATAGACTTTATTAAACCTAATAAACCAATAATGACACAACCTCGCATACATATTAAAAATGCTCACCAATGATTTACGGACAGTATGTAGTTGAAGTGTTGTCCTTATCAGGTAAGATTTAACTAGTACAAGGTAGTAGGCCTTTGTATTGTGGTAGATATTGTTTCTTAGTGTGTCACCGTCAGATTTCAGCCTCTTCACTGAAATTATTAGCATGATGAAATTAGGGCACAGCAAAAAATTTGCAAAAACACAAGGAAATTATTTGAGAGTAATCTTATGTAATAGAATTTATTAATGAGATTAAATATATGTAGCTTAACGGATTTATTTTTCAATTAATTTAATTGGTAAGGAAGAGAAAAGTATTTACATTGATATGATTTCTGAATGATGAGCTTCTCCCTGTGACTGTGCATTTGCATCATGATACGACAGTTTTTTAATGTATAACCTGCCCAATTTGATTATGTTAATAGAACGAAGGTTTTGAGCCAAAGTATATTGTATCACACAATGCATATTAACATGACATACTAACACTAGAAAGAAAAGAAGTCCATAAGCTGTTATTAATAGCAGATTGCATAACAAAAGGCTCAAAATCCTCGGTCACCATTTTAACTTTTGTGGACCAACTCTAAGGTAACCTGCACCAATTCTTATGATAAAAGTAGGCCTAAATCAATCATAATTTTCTCCTCAGATGATCCGCATTCGACCTCAGGTAAAGCCATAATCTATTCTACAGTCAAGTCAGAGCACAATGCTCGTGCACACACTGCACTCAGGGTACCCTAAGGGCTCTAAAATCCTACACTCACTCTGCCATAAAGCTCTGAATTCTCTCAAGGGCATTTATCAAAATTTTTGAGACCAAAATGTTCAATTTACTGCACTTTTCGAAATTGCACCTTTAGCTTAACAGTACAAAGATTGGTCAACTAATGACTTACTTACAGATAACACAAATTATTTGCATGAAAATATGATTTTGGCACACGAGTCAAGTTTCAGAACCCCTGTCGAAATTCTCCTGATATCTAAAGCCCCACGGCCAACACTGCATGAACATCTTTCAGATTGTCATGATCTGAATACACTTTAAAAATGTACAATGTAATATTTCTTGGTGTATGAGGTTTTAGATATCGAAACTGTATATATATGGATTGCTACCTCAGTTATTCTTTTACAGTAGAAACTTACATCAGCTGTTGTGGATGTTTAAGTATTTTTCACTGATACTCTGATAACAGTTGTCATGACCATGTACGTAGTTAACACTGTTATGGTTTAAATACTATTTAAACTGTTAACAATTTTTCTTCAGCTCTTGCTTGTAATAACATTGTCTTCAATTTTATTTACACAGTAATTTCTCTTCAGTTGTTTCATCGAATCTTGTAAATACGTGCTATTGCATTCAGGTATGGAATCATGGGGAAATGGAAGGAGAGAGACCATTATTTCTCGCGAACACTAGAACTGTAAAACTCTGCATATAACATTTTCAGAATTGAACAAAAGAAATTAGCATTACACTCTCGTGCAGTCATGTAAAAAATAAATTAATTTCTTGATGAGGGCATATTACACTTCATATAATATACCTAATATTTTTTTTTTGTCAATTCACTGTCCTGTTTTTTTAAGCAGTGTCAATGGTCAGTTTTATACCAAGAGTTTCATATTAAGCTGTACACGCCACTTTATACCATGAGTCCCTTAACATTGTATGATAGCATTTAAACAATATAACATCCATCTTTATACCAGCAGGTCCTTATCAAAACCAAAACTACCCAAAGCTACGCAAGAATTTACTCCCGTACCCACGACACCAATCACACCCAGCCTCTCTCATTCGTATATTTGTCCAATCTCTCTTTAAAGCCACCCAGGGCCCGAGCCTCAATCGCTCTACTCGGAAGATTGTTTCATGCATCCACAACTCTGTTCGAAAACCAGTACTTACCTATGTCATTTCTAAATCTAAATTTATCCAACTTAAATCATTTATTTCAGGTTCTTACCTGGTTCGACATCCTCAGTACTTTATTAACATCACCTTTGTTTATGCCCATCATCCACTTATAGGCTTCGATGATATCTTCCCTCAATCTAGTAGCTCTCACCTTGAACATGGCCAGCCATAAGGTAGCAATCCGTACTTAAAAACCCTGTAATGCACTGTATTGAACCTAATACCGTATTTGTATATAATTTATTGATGTGGTGGTACTTGGATTGCACGAATTGGGTGTAGTATTTGTAATATATGTTAAAATGTTTTATGTAACTTATAGTATATATATATATTTTAACTATATAATTATATATATATAAATTTATATAATATATAATATATATATATATATATATATATATATCGTGCCGAATAGGTAAAACTGGTCAATTATCAAGAACTCGTTTAAAATTAAATACTTTCTAAAATTTTTCTCTTAAACGTTTAAAGATACTTTTTTCATGTTAATGTAAAAATTAATAATTTTGTACCAAAAACCTTACAAAACTTACTTAACCTTATTATAACAAGCTCAGTTTAATTTAGCCTAATCCAGCTAAATATATTAATATATTTTAAATAGTTTACAGTAATTTAATAATAAACAAACACAATGAAACATACTTTTTCGTTAGGTTTAGAATGATTTTTGCGAAATTATCGCAAACACACATTTTCGCATGCCTTATATATATATATATAATATAATATATATATATATATATATATATATATATAAAATATATATATATATAATTTTTTTTTTCAACAAGTCGGCCGTCTCCCACCGAAGCAGGGTGACCCAAAAAAGAAAGAAAATCCCCAAAAAGAAAATACTTTTATCATCATTCAACACTTTCACCACACTCATACATTATCACTGTTTTTGCAGAGGTGCTCAGAATACAACAGTTTAGAAGCATATACGTATAAAGATACACAACATATCCCTCCAAACTGCCAATATCCCAAACCCCTCCTTTAAAGTGCAGGCATTGTACTTCCCATTTCCAGGACTCAAGTCCGACTATAAGAAAATAACAGGTTTCCCTGAATCCCTTCACTAAATATTACCCTGCTCACACTCCAACAGATCGTCAGGTCCCAAGTATCATTCGTCTCCATTCACTCCTATCTAACACGCTCATGCACGCTTGCTGGAAGTCCAAGCCCCTCGCCCACAAAACCTCCTTTACCCCCTCTTCCAACCCTTTCGAGGACGACCCCTACCCCTCTTTCCTTCCCCTATAGATTTATATGCTTTCCATGTCATTCTACTTTGATCCATTCTCTCTAAATGACCAAACCACCTCAACAACCCCTCTTCTCCCCTCTGACTAATGCTTTTATTAACTCCACACCTCCTAATTTCCACACTCCGAATTTTCTGCATAATATTTACACCACACATTGCCCTTAGACAGGACATCTCCACTGCCTCCAACCGTCTCCTCGCTGCTGCATTTACCACCCAAGCTTCTCATCCATATAAGAGTGTTGGTACTACTATACTTTCATACATTCCCTTCTTTGCCTCCATAGATAACGTTTTTTGACTCCACATATACCTCAACGCACCACTCACCTTTTTTCCCTCATCAATTCTATGATTAACCTCATCCTTCATAAATCCATCCGCCGACACGTCAACTCCCAAGTATCTGAAAACATTCACTTCTTCCATACTCCTCCTTCCCAATTTGATATCCAATTTTTCTTTATCTAAATCATTTGATACCCTCATCACCTTACTCTTTTCTATGTTCACTTTCAATTTTCTACCTTTACACACATTCTCAAACTCATCCACTAACCTTTGCAATTTTTCTTTAGAATCTCTCATAAGCACAGTATCATCAGCAAAAAGTAACTGTGTTAATTCCCATTTTGAATTTGATTCCCCATAATTTAATCCCACCCCTCTCCCGAACACCCTAGCATTTACTTCTTTTACAACCCCATCTATAAATATATTAAACAACCATGGTGACATTACACATCCCTGTCTAAGACCTACTTTTACCGGGAAGTATTCTCCCTCTCTTCTACACACCCTAACCTGAGCCTCACTATCCTCATAAAAGCTCTTTACAGCATTTAGTAACTTACCACCTATTCCATAAACTTGCAACATCTGCCACATTGCTCCTCTATCCACTCTATCATATGCCTTTTCTAAATCCATAAATGCAATAAAAAACTTCCCTACCTTTATCTAAATACTGTTCACATATATGCTTCAATGTAAACACTTGATCTACACATCCCCTACCCACTCTGAAGCCTCCTTGCTCATCCGCAATTCTACATTCTGTCTTACCTCTAATTCTTTCAATTATAACTCTACCGTATACTTTTCCTGGTATACTCAGTAAACTTATTCCTCTATAATTTTTACAATCTCTTTTATCCCCTTTCCCTTTATATAAAGGGACTATACATGCTCTCTGCCAATCCCTAGGTACCTTCCCCTCTTTCATACATTTATTAAACAAAAGTACCAACCACTCCAACACTATATCCTCCCCTGCTTTTAACATTTCTGTCATGATCCCATCAGTTCCAGCTGCTTTACCCCCTTTCATTCTACGTAATGCCTCACGTTCCTCCACCACACTTACATTCTGCTCTTCTTCACTCCTAAAAGATGGTATACCTCCCTGGCCAGTGCATGAAATTACCTCCTCCCTTTCTTCCTCAACATTTAAAAGTTCCTCAAAATATTCTCGCCATCTACCTAATACCTCCCTCTCCCCATCTACTAACTCCCCTACTCTGTTTTTAACGGACAAATCCATACTTTCCCTAGGCTTTCTTAACTTGTTTAACTCACTCCAAATTTTTTTCTTATTTTCATTAAAATTTCTTGACTGCCTCTCCCACTCTTTCATCTGCTCTCCTTTTGCACTCTCTCACCACTCTCTTCACCTTTCTTTTACTCTCCATATACTCTGCTCTACTTATAACACTTCTGCTTTGTAAAAACCTCTCGTAAGCTACCTTTTTCTCTTTTATCACACCCTTTACTTCATCATTCCATCAATCACTCCTCTTTCCTCCTGCCCCCACCCTCCTATAACCACAAACTTCTGCCCCACATTCTAATACTGCACTTTTAAAACTATTCCAACCCTCTTCAACCCCCCCACTACTCATCTTTGCACTAGCCCACCTTTCTGCCAATAGTCGCTTATATCTCGCCCGAACTTCCTCCTCCCTTAGTTTATACACTTTCACCTCCCTCTTACTTGTTGTTGCCACCTTCCTCTTTTCCCATCTACCTCTTACTCTAACTGTAGCTACAACTAAATAATGATCTGATATATCAGTTGCCCCTCTATAAACATGTACATCCTGGAGCCTACCCATCAACCTTTTATCCACCAATACATAATCTAACAAACTACTTTCATTACGTGCTACATCATACCTTGTATATTTATTTATCCTCTTTTTCATTAAATATGTATTACTTATTACCAAATTTCTTTCTACACATAGCTCAATTAAAGGCTCCCCATTTACATTTACCCCTGGCACCCCAAATTTACCTACCACTCCCTCCATAACATTTTTACCCACTTTAGCATTGAAATCCCCAACCACCATTACTTTCACACTTGATTCAAAACTCCCCACGCATTCACTCAACATTTCCCAGAATCTCTCTTTCTCCTCTACACTTCTCTCTTCTCCAGGTGCATATACGCTTACTATAACCCACTTTGCACATCCAATCTTTATTTTACTCCACATAATCCTTGAATTTATGCATTTGTAGTCCCTCTTTTCCTGCCATAGCTTATCCTTCAACATTATTGCTATATAATATATATTATATATATATATATATATATATATTTTATATATATATTATGTATATAAAATATATATATATATATATATATATATATATATATATATATATATATATATATAATATTGTACCCACGAACAAGTGGTATTGATCAGTAACAACACTGCGACTAGCCAAGGAGTCGAACCCATGCTGCTTTGACCTGCCTCATGGTGGGCGAAAAGTCATGACGCCTTAATCCACGAAAATGATATGGAGTTTGTGGTCCCGTGGATTAATGCGTCATGAGTTTTCGCCCACCATGATGTAACAGGCCAAAGCAGCATGGGTTCGACTCCTTACCTAGGTAGAACTTGCGATTTTGGTTTAAGTAGTAACGCTCTTCTTGCCGAATAAGGCAAGCGAAAATTTGTTCATGCAATAATTTCGCAAAAATCATTCTGAACCTAACGAAGAAAATATATTTCATTGTTTTTGTTTATTATTAAATTAGTGTAAACTGTTATAAAATATATTTAGTTGGATTAGGCTAAATTAAATTGCGCTTGTTATAATAAGGTAAGTTTTCTATTTTTTTTGGTACGGAATTATTAATGTTTTAAATTAACATAAATGAAAAATATATATCGTTAAACATATAAGAGAAAATTTTAGAAAGGACTTAATTTTAAATGAGCTCTTGCTAATTTACTAATATATATATATATATATATATTATATATTATATATATATATATATATATATATATATATATATATATATATATATATATATATATAATGTTATAGTGTGTGCATATACTTTATATATAAGATACACATTGCTTTAATTTCAAAATGGTATTAGGCCATTTTTTCAATTCTTTTGTGTTAACATCAACTTGTCATTATAGTTTAATTTAGTCTTATTAGAAAAAATGTGATAACTAGATATTTCTATATTATTGTCTCATCAAGGAATTATGGTTGATCAGTTTACTTGAAAGGTACAGTAATTATTTGCATTATGACTGGACTTAATATTGCGGTTACCTGGCATTGTCTCTGCTGCAGGTGTGTAATCTGCAGTTAACTCACTAAGCAAACTCACACTTTTACTTCCCAATAGTATGATCTAACCATTTGTGTTTTGTCCAGTGCTACAGCATATTAATAATTTATAACCCGGCAGACAGTGCACTAACGTCTTGCTACGGCTTGAGTTATCCTTTTCTGTATATAAATTCCCATTTACACTTGCACTCTTCTTATGCAGTTACAAATTGAAACTTTTTCGCTATTTATCTGTCTAATAATTGATTTATAAGCTTAAATTAATAATGCTAAATTTAAGTATTCATAAATTAAAATTTAGAAACAAATTTTTATCCATATATTGTTGAACTTTACATAAATACCCAGTCATAACTCAAAAAATACATTTCTTTTATATTTCACCAACTGGCAGATTTAACACACATTTTGGTGTCTTCCAGAGGGTCAGATCCCTGGAAAGCGACCAGAATACCTAAAACCTGATGACATTGGCCCTAAGTACAAACCTGACGACAAGTGTGAGTACCATTGCAGTTTTATTCTTTTGATTTAGACTTAAAAGCTGAAGAGAATCCAGTTTGAAGAATAAACTTTTATTGGAACAGCGTTATGCTTTGTGTAGAGCTTAATTAAATGGCTTAGTAAATCTCTACAGAGCGAAACACTGTTCTAACGCTTAATTCTCTTGTAGCCTATTGTCTCATTCTATAACCTTTTACCAGCTTATAGTTCTGTAGCTTTTTTTGTCAGATATTATTAGCTAATTCTGCAGTCAGTTATCAGCTTATTCTATAGTGTTTTTTATCAGCCTATCCCATAGTTTTTTATAAGTTTATTTATATTTTTTTCTATCAGCCTTTATTCTGTATCCTATTATGAGCAGAAGTCCGTTTTTAATCACGTTCTGTCTTACCTCAGCTCATTTACATCATCTTGCTATCCTACCTAAGATCGTTCATAACCACCTGATATTGCAGCCTTAGCCCATTTATAACCACCTGCTATCCTACTTCAGCGCATAACCGCCTACTAGCCTACCTCAGCTCATTTATGACACCTGCTGTCCTTCCTCAGCTCACTTATAACCATCTGCTATCCTACCTCAGTTCATTTCAAGGCCAAACCTGTTTATGGTCTACAATTTTTAAGGATGCGATCCGCAACACCTGGGTACCTATCCACTTCTAGGTGAACAGGACAGTAGGAGTAAGGAGACTTTCACTTACGTCTCATTCCTCCTGGGAATCCAACCCGAGTTCTTTCGGCTGTAAGCTGAATTCTCTGGTGCAGAACTAAGCACCTTTTTTTGAAGTGCAAATTTTGGGTTAGATATGTTTAATATGTGCCACAGTTAAATCAGAGAAACGTCGAACAAGACACGCAGAACAGGATACGTCAAAGAAGACATGCACGACACGACGACGAGTCGAGCCATTATTAGAAATAAACGCTTCGCTCAGTGAGAACTTGATCAAGTTATCTTTATCAAGCTTTTATATAATATAACCTTTAAATGAAAGCCTGATTTGCCTACGTGTCTGCTCTGTCTACGTGTCTGCTGTCTACATGTGTACTTTGTCTATGTGACTGGTCTGTGTGTAGCGAGAACCTCAGTCACCGGGTTACTGATGACTGGGAGGCAGCTTCTCAGAACTAGTATACGATATTAGCTATGCTATATATTGCCATTTTTAGGAAATGCTATTGCAAAAGTGCATAAAAACTGAATAGTGCGTTCTGTGGAGGCCATTTCATGTGCTATTCAATTATGGATATCTTTTGAATAACATTTACAAAAATAAGATGTAGAGGAGCTTCATAAGTAAACTTATTGCATGTTACTACGGTACATGATGTTAGTACACAGATTATGAAATGGAATTTACACAGTTGCTATTTGAAACATCTATGCAAATTGTTATATTTTTTAGATTTTTTTTAGAAATAACCGGAAACCAGAAGAGTTAAAAAATATATAATTTATTTTAAGGATTTTGATGATATTGAGCAAGTCAGCAACAATTATTATTACTCTTGATGATTAATAAAGATTGATAAAGCCCCTGGAGGCGAAATGTCTCTCAAATAAAGATATGCAGCCTATAATAATTCTTAGTTATAAATTTGTGGGTATAATGTAGAGACGGAGACAATGATATACCAGAAGTAGACAGCTTTGCACGCATGTTTCAAATGACTCTGGAGATGAATGGCCTCATGTTACTTGTATCATTGAATAATAATTTTAGGTTCCTTGCTTCTCAGTGAATGCAGTAATGTAGTTTTACTTGTTTATGTTGATAATCTTAACCTATTATTTTTTTTTTTTTTTGCAATAGTGGTTTACAATACCGAAAAGTGGATGAATAACACATCCAACGTCAGGGTATTTTCTATTATGAAGTTCCCCAACCAGTAGCTTTTTCAACTCAATGTAATGGTTATTAGCTGGGACAGTAGAAGATAAGGTAATCAGTCCTTTAGCCTTGAGGAAAGATATTCAAACTGGAGATAGTCTGAACATCTGCCAGCTTTGGTGGATTTAGGCTCGTAAACTTATTTCAAGGCTGTGTGGATTGATTACATCATCAACCGTCTCCAGAGTGAACACCTTCCAGCAAGACTTGAGGGATTGATTACCTCATATTCTACTGTCTCCAGCATATAACCACTGTAATGAATTGAAAAAACCAATGGTTGACAAAATATCTTTATAATAAAAATACATGATCTTTATGCATTTGTCTTATCTAATTTTTTATTTCGTCTTTTGTATGACATTTATTAGAGGCGCTAGTGAGTGCTACAACCAACACTCATTACTATTGAGTGCCACATCCAGCACAACAACTATCGCCACTGGTCATTATAAAACTAAACCTCTGATTACCACCACCTACCTCATTAAGGCACCTACATCCTCAAGGGAGGTAGGTGCCTTGACGCTGGTGAATGTCTTGACTCTTTAGCCAGAAAATTGGAATTATCCTCGCCTTGCTTGGATCAGGCTTGATTATCCTCCATTTCCCAGGCTGCATTGTATGACCCTGTACGTTCCCGTGAGTATAGAAATAGTCTGGTATAAACCCGTATTTCAATAACATCCTGGGTTGGCTACCAACAGTGTACGTCATCAAGAGAGAGTACGAATCAGAAGACGAGGAGGGAGGTCGTCGCTTTGCTGTCTTGGGGCCCAAGAAAGTGCAGGGTGTGGGCCCCACCACCACCGAGGGCGTCCCCACCACCCTAAAGTCGGTATGTACTTCCTTACCTTCCTCAAGGGTCCTCCTTGGCCATGCTTATAATTGCTTCAGAAGCTACTTAGAACTAGGCGAAAGTGTAGGATTAGACTCTTGCAGCTGAAGAAGAAATGTGACGTAATGATATGAATCCAGACCTTTGTTAGTGATTTTGTTAGCTCGTGTAAATATATACATACAAGTATATATGTGTGTATCTATAATGTAAATTGTCACTAGAAAGATTTGTCTGTATTAAGACAGAAGCCTGTAGAATGCTACACTGTCTGTTGTCAGGATAGACAGCTTTGCAGCCATTGTCAAAAAAGTACACAGCTTGACAGCCATTTGTTGCAGAGCAAAAGTAGACTGGGTGCTTTAAATTCAGCTTTTATGTCCATATCTTGTCATTAGATGCTTCTAAAAGATAAACAAAGTCAATGTATGACAAACTATGTTTTACGTTTACATTGTGTGATGTTTGTAGCTATCCTGCAGTGGTGTGTGTGTGTGTGTGTGTGTGTGTGTGTGTGTGTGTGTGTGTGTGTGTGTGTGTGTGCGCGCGGTGTGCGTGCGTGCATGTGCGTGCGTGCGTTTGTGTGTGTGTTTGTGTGTATGTGTGAGTGGGTGATTTTTAAATACATATAGTTGCGAATGTGTTTGTGCTCCAGCTTGTGTTTGTCTTTATAGTTGCCACTACACAATATTTCCCCGTCTTGTGTTTCATGCTGCCGAGTAGGATAAATTGAGGATTTTCAAAATGATGAAACTAAAAGGATTCAGAGTAAGTATTTCAAATTTACTGTCAGCAGTACATATCATTCCCTATACATAATGTTGCGGATATAACATTATACTTAAATAGACGGTTAACAGCACCCCGGAGAAACTGTAAAAAGAAAGCAGCACCCCTGACAAACATTGACAGAAAGCAGCACCCCTGACAAACATTGACAGAAAGCAGCACCCCTGACAAACATTGACAGAAAGCAGCACCCCTGACAAACATTGACAGAAAGCAGCACCCCTGACAAACAGTCAGAAGACAGCACCCCTGACGAAATTTTAGCATACCTGACAAAATACCAAAACTGACAAGTTATAAAAGCTGAGCTGATAATTAGTCAGCTGAGCCTTACAACATTGCAGCAGATCTACAATGTAACTAAGAAAATCTGTAATGTAAGTCACAAAAGACCTGCACCAGGACTAACATGTATCTGTAAACTAACAGAAGACCGACACTACGACTATCAGAAAACGTACATAAAGAAGATATACCCTGTAACAGATGACCTACATTGTAACAGATAACCTACATTGTAACTAACAGAAGACTTATAGTCCTATACAAAGCAGGATACCCACACTACAATAGAATACCCACAACAGAATATCCACACTGGAGCAAAATGCCCACTCTACAACAAAATGCCCACTCTACAACAAAATGCCAACACTAATAGAATACTCACACTACAACAGAATACCCACACAACAAAATGCCAACAGTACAACAGAATACCCACATTACAACAGAATACCCATATTGTAATTAACAGAGACCTACTATAACAGAAGACCAAAAAGGCACAGTACCGTGACTGGAACAATACACAAATAACGCGCACATAGGAGAGAGGAGCTTCCAACGACGTTTCGGTCCTACTTGGACCATTTACAAAGTCACTTTGTAATTGTCTGAGTTGGACCGAACGTCGTCGTAAGCTTCTCTCTCCTACTCGCGGGTTATTTTTGTATAACAGGAGATTTTAATAATTCTTTAGTGTGTGCTCTGCAGTTATATGTTTGACTTGACAACCTTTATCTTGGCTTGGCGAGCGCTGCACGTCTACACACACATTAAAAATGACAAACCATCTTGCCACGCCAACATAAACAACGTGGATGGGGATACCGACAAGGCTGGTGTAAGCCTACCACTGAAATTATGATAAATTAGACACATGTGGAACACTCGGGTATCTTTAATGATACCCAAGTGTTGCACATGTGTCTAATTTATAAGCTTGTCGGTTCTCTGAACCATTCATCTACAATTAAATTATTTCTTAATTTGGCGGTGAATTGTACCTAAATGGAAAGTAATTTTTGCTGAACAAACCTAGCATAACAGATATTTACTTTTTTGTAGTTTAGGCCGAGTATGTACCAGAGATCAGCAGTGCGTGTTAAAATCCACGTTTGAACACACTGATGCACTGGTAGTCAGTCCAGTTACACGTGTACATTTCGCCGAATTGCTGTTAATTCTTTTCTGCATTATTTAGCATACTATGCATATTTAATATACTGTGCATATTTAATTACATATATTAATGTACATTTGCATTTAATTAACTCAACGAAATTAAAATAACAGGTGGGTTACGTCTGGCAGTGCGGAGCGTGTACTAATAGACAGCGTGCGTTTTCTCCTGAATGACAAAACTGTCCTATTTTCTTCACTGTAAATTTGTCATTTTTTATATTACAGAGCAGTTAATAAATCATCATATTTACTCAATATCAGTATATTTTGCAGCTGCATCTAAATAATGGTTCGCAAAAACATATATCTTATCGTTTCTACAACGTTCAGTAAAATACATGCAGCCCAATGCTTTTAATTCACAAAAATATATATATTTAAATTTTACTTAAACTCTATTGTTGTAAACTCAAGGTAGTAAATACAACTTTATTGTTGTAAACTCGAGGTAGTAAATAAAATCAATAATCGTGTTAAAGCGGATGTTTGTTTAGACGTGTTACGGAGCATGTTACTTCGCTGCCAGAATTATGATGCGCCTGTCAGGAACCTTTGTCTCGAATTCACAAAAGCTCACATTTCGCATGACAATCTGAGCTAAGCTGTGAGAAGGCAGTCCGCTCTGTCCACTCGAAATATTTTGTTACCACATTAAAATGCTTTAGTGTCTAGATATTAAACCAGTTTCACTGGAGAGGAAGCGCTTAAGGAAGCATTAATTGATTAGTTTTTATATCCGAGTGATATTACATTTTTTTGTGTATGGTATTTATACATTAGTTCATAAATACATTACAGTAAGTCCAGTAGCACTAAGGTAAAATTAAAAACATAGGTTGCAGAGTAACCTTCCATAGTAGGCTTCAGCCCAGCTGGGGGGGGGGGTGGAGCCTTGTAATAAGTCGTCCCCAGCTCCCACCGTCTTTATTTTCACTTGTTGGCTTAGAACACTGTTTACCTCCACCAAGTAAAGACGACCATGCTAATCTTAAAAAAAAAAAAAAAAAAAAACGTAAAATTGAGAATACGTATGAGGGAACTTGTAATGTGTCACTGGACGTCTGTCACTTTCTCTCCTGCTCAGCGTAGCTTGTATTAGATATGTTTTAACGTTTACTGTTTTGTCCTCAGGGTGTAAAATCAGAGCATCAGGGAGAGTGGTACAGGAGAATGTTTGATTCACTACACAAAGTCAAAGATGGTGAGTAAGAATGGTTCTTTGCTGGAGTTACTTATTGACCATATAATAAGTCACAAAACCCTGGCTGGAGCAATTCACAAGTAACCCACAATTTGGATATGAAATTAAACGACGTTGAGGTCCATCCAGGACATGTTAAGACTGAAACGTCGTCTTGTTGCATCTCCAATTGTGTGGGCTTTGAAAAAATAATTTTATTTTACCTAAGATATTTTTATATTTATGCTCCTATGATTCCGTAATTAAGTTCATATTAACATGGAGAAGAGTTTTTTTGTGGATGAAGTTACAAACAGTAATACATAAGGGTCAGTAAGAATCTTACTTTATTACTATTACAAATACACAAACCTCTACTCAAAACCACAATTAATGTTTAACACACCATCCAACATTTAAGACGAACGCTCTTTAAGAATCCCAATTTTGCTTTAACAACATAATTTTATTTACAGTATTATATTTTGCTCTATGACCGTAATAATCCTTTAATAATTTTTTTGGGCATGAAGTTCGTAATCTAGGACAACAGAATCTTGCTTTTACACAAGATACACAACCAACACTTACAAAACACCTAAGCTACAACTCCCACTTCAAACGAATGCACATAAGAACCAGTTTCATTTTACACTTGTTGTAAGTACATGTTTGTGGGACATAACCATCCTTTATAAGTTAATTTTCTATGCAACATTGAAGTTGACACTAATGTTTGTAAAGAATACAGGATACATCTCATTTGTAAATGAAACCAGGATTTACAACTCACTGTAAGTTGAAACACAGAAACAGTACTTGTAAGTTGAAAGGTCTCATTAACTTACCATACATATTTATTTGCCACTATTAAGTTGAGTCTATCCAGCAGCAGTATTGTAGGTGATATTTAACATGCGCAATAACATAATACAGTAAATTTAATATTGCTTTCAATAGATTAATTTAGTTAAGATATACAAAATACCTATTTATTATTAAATACTTATTAATTATTTATATACATATATATATGAAAGTGAGGAAAAACAACATCTCGGATTTTGCATCATACTGGTTTTCCGAAACATACTGTAGAGGGCTAAAGAATTAATCTTAAAAAAATTCATATTTATAGTCACTAATTGTGAACATTTTTATTGCCTTATTGTCAAATAATGTACACAATGTCGATCCGTTCTATCAAGAACCTATGTAAGAATTTATATTTCTGCTCTCGCCATGTGTGACATAATTTAGAGTACTCATAACCTATAGTTTTAGATATTGAATATATTGAGTCAGAAATGTGACTGTTTTCAGTACATTAATATAGTGTACTAGTCACACTGGGCATTAATGTACTGGTGACATGCCAGTAGGATGTCCATGAGGTGTTTCTTATCGCGTTATCTTCCAGCTCAGGTCATGAAACAATAATTCAGATGAAGCTTTAAAATTATTCTTATAATTTTAGTCCAGAAGTAACTCACTAATAGATCAGTGAAACTTTCAATAATTACTGTACTTAAATTTTTGTACCCCTTAAAACGTAAATGTATAATTTGTTTATTAGTAAATAAATTATATTTTGTACTACTGAGAGAATTAAAATTCCAAATTTGTAAAACACCTCTATCGTGGACTCGATTGTATTTTCAGAATTCATCTTAGATGTAGGTCCAGTGATGTAAATATGTCGACCAAGTTAATTGTTGCTGTTTTTTCCTTAAAACTCCTCTCTGATTTCAGACGACCACATCATCATCAAATACAAAGTCCCCAGAGGTACACATGAGTACAGGAATTAAAACACCTTTAGCAGCTTACTTACTGTCGCTTGACCCCCGGGGTCTCCTATTTGCTGGCTCTCCTGGGAACATTGTCTTGCTTTATCATCTTCACATTACCATAACTATATATTCACAGTCTCTCTTCTATAACAAAACTTTTGTTACTTATGTTTTTTCCTAATATGTTTCAATTCTTTAGTATGTTAATATTTAAGTAAATAATGTAGTCAATTATGAAAGAATTAAGATACCTATAATGATTTCTGTGATTAATTTATTGTCTTATTTTTGGCGGTTGTGAAACTGTTCTACCTTCTCGTGCTAATAATCATGTTCATTAAATTATTTCTCTGCAGCTATAAATTATGCTCTAAATATTTTCCAAAATTCATTAATCTTATCAATTGTTCTCACTGCCTAATTTGGTTTTGCTCTCCAATTACTTCCAGACACTCCTAGGTCTAAGTACAGGCAAAATAAAGGTATAGAAAAGTCTCAGAGCTGGAGAAATGCATTCTCTCACACTAACTCTGTTCATTTTCTTATGCATGCGCTGTAACCAGTTGGGTGGCTCATGCAGGAAGATGTATAATGGTTCAAGCCTAGCTGTAGACTAGTCATATTAACCAACGCATAGAAATAGATTATTTTTCATTTTAAATATAAATTTAGCATTTATTCATAAATTTGTGCATATACGACTTTATAGCATTGTACGTATTTGTCTTGTGTTAGTTTTACAAACAAAAGGTTTTCGCCTGAGGTGATAAATTGTGCATTGAGTAGCAAAAATTTTTAGTGACGTTGATATACAATCCTCAACACATTAATGACAGACTAATATACTGTCTTGTTATGATTGGCTGAGGTAAGTAGAAAGAAAAAATATTTCACTGTAAATATCACCACTTAAACTAGTATCACACGAGAACCTCTTGTGGAATTTTATTTTGTTGCAGTTTGCTTCTTGTCATGGACGAGTGTCTGTTCACTCAGTGTAAATGTTTTCCCGTTTTCTTTGACGCCTCTCCATCGGGACGATGAGACCAATACTTTCAGTAATGTCGTATTTCTTAAGTTTTTGAAAAGTAAAAATTACTTGTGAGAGATCTGTTATGCTACAAATTACAAACATTGAACTGTCAAAACGAACGTCAAACATAACATAACGAAATCAGTAATATATATATATATATATATATATATATATATATTATATATATATATATATATATATATATATATATATATATATATATATATGGCAGTTTGGAGGGATGAACACCTCTGTAAATACCCACATGGGATACCGATGTCACCAGAATTTCCGTCTTTTAGACAGTGATTATGTATGAGTGAGGTGAGTGTGTTGAATGATTAAAGTATTTTCTTTTTTTGGGTCACCCTGCCTCGGTGGGAGACGACCGACGTGTTATGTGTGTGTGTATGTATAATATATATATATATATATATATATATATATATATATATATATATATATATATATATTCAACAAGTCGGCCGTCTCCCACCGAGGCAGGGTGACCCAAAAAAGAAAGAAAATCCCCAAAAAGAAAATACTTTCATCATTCAACACTTTCACCACACTCACACATAATCACTGTTTTTGCAGAGGTGCTCAGAATACAACAGTTTAGAAGCATATACGTATAAAGATACACAACATATCCCTCCAAACTGCCAATATATATTATATATATATATATATATATATATATATATATATTATATATATATATATATATATATATATATATATATATATATATTATATATATTATATATATGTATGAAATTAAATAAAAGATTTTTAAGTCTGGCCAATAACAGGTTATAAAGAATGTACGTCCTCTATAAATGGTTATAGCTATCTTATGATGGAATATTTTACATGGTGACTGGTGAGCTAGCGAGTTTTGGTCAGATGACCAAAACTTGAGTAAGGGGGCGGGATCATGTAATTAAGACTCCCGTCAGGAGATATGTACACATTAATTATGACAAAATTCCCCCTACTCGTCTTTTTCATCCTCGGCATTTATGTAAATATGAGAACATTATATATAAATCATTACTTTGTTTTCCCGCACTTGACCACAAATTTCTCTTCCAGCACCACCACCATTAATATTTCCCCCTCAACAATCCACCATGGCTACTTCTATCAACCATTACCACGTAAACACCACTGCACAACCATATACATCATTACCACCATCACCACACACGCACATAGGCTACACCACTGCGATCACTCTACCACTACACATTCACCACCACTATCATACATTCTCCACCATTACACATATTCTCCATCGCTACCACATTTACCACCACCATTACGTATTCGCCACCACCACCACAACCACATATTCACCACCGCCACCACCACATATTCAACACCACACATCCACCACTACACCAAAAGCAGCCATTACCATCACCACAACACAACTATCAACACAGTACCAACCACTTTAAGTGTCAGTCACTCACCATGATGCTACCCTCCACCAGATATATTGACCGGAACCAAACGCATAAAATCTCCACTTGTATTTAATTCAGTTTCTCGTCATGCCTATTTTACCGTCCAGGGGATGCTATGAATAGGGTAGGTGGCAAGGGATGTAGGGTACGTTCTGGCTCGTAGAGTGAAAGGGATGGTCAGTGAAAAGGAAGCACGTGAGAGGAAATAAATAGGTTGTAAAAAGATCATACAGAATTTGTTTTTTGTAGCTGTAAAGGGATTGCTGGGGAGGGAAAATAGAGAACCCATTGTTTGACAAGTAGTGAGAGATGACATTTTTATTATTGCCTACCGCGCTGGGCTGCGTTTTATAACATACACAATGCAGTTTTAATTTGCTTTCTATCCATATAGAGAATTGTATTTTAGGTCATTACTATGTGGCGATTCTTTTTTTTTTTAATGAAGTGGAAACCTAGCTTGAGGGTTAGCCAACGGATGCTTAACCTTTAAAGGATCCACAAGTGTGTTCTCACCTAAGCCAGAAGACGCCTGTTATGTTTCCTAACGAATAAGGCATGTTATACATGATCTGAGTGTGTATATAATATAGTTGGTCTCATCACCTAGTGGAGAAAAGCTGCAAATAATTTAAAAACAATCCCTCCAGCTTGAGTGAGGTGAACAGTCAGTGTCTGAGTGGCAGTGTCTGACAACGTCCGCATGGTCAACTTGTTTATATTTTCTCGTACTTTGATGAGACATCGAGGTATGTCCCACTTTGATCAGGCACAGGTATAAATTGAGCTCATTGTATTGTCTCAGAGGCAGAGTATTTGCCTGCTTCTACTGTAAAGTCTGAGTAACAAAAAAATTGTTTTAATGGTATCAGATACTAATTAATTAAGCAAAAATCCTTCTGGAGAATAATACCAGTTATTTTAAAAATTAATATTAAAATGCATATTTATACTGTATTTTGCAAAGTAAATCTTCAGATACTCCGGTTCATCGTACACTAAGAGGTAACTAAATATTCCCCGTTTTTCATTCACTTTGCAGCGCGGTATGGCGGGTACCTCTCAGAACCTGAGGGCTACGACTCCGATATTGGTTCCTCGCGCTACGCTACCCTTGATCGTCGCCGTCAGCATCACTTCGAGGTGGATCCCATGACTTCCAGCCTGCCCAGGTAGGTCAAGCTTTTCCAGCCAGCCTGCTTTACAGCCTTCATAGTTGCTGCATCTTGCTCCCTACCACCTAGCAGTATTTCTTGAGTCTGCTTCTCACTTGGTTGTCCATAAGCCGTCGTAGTCCTTAAAATCAATAACAGAACATGTTTGAACGCCCATGCAGCCACACCCATGAAACCATACCCATTGCTTTGTCACTTCTAGCAAAAATATTTACATTATAGTGTTAATATTAAAGTCAGATTCTGCTCAAAGATAGTTATATTCTGAATAGATGTGAAAACTTTACGAAATCGCTTCCCCCTAAGGGAGGTGCCTTGATGCTAGTAGAGGCTCTTGATCCATGGATTTGCATCTGTTCTCCAATTCCTCGGATCGAACCCGATTGTCTATTTCCCAAGTGCTGTATGATCCATACTGCTTTAGCGCTTTTCCTAAATAGTAATTATAATAATGTAGAACTGCTTTAGTGTCAGTGACCAGGAAAACATGTGCACTACTTTTACTATTAATGGCATAATATAGTCAGATTAATGTTTGTTGATCCCTTCATTCATGGATGATGATTCTTGTCAGTGTAGCCGCATTTTGTTTACAAGAATGTTTATCCTGAAACATTACAAACATTTACCAGTAAGAGACTCCTGTACACAAGTAATGGTAGATGTTTGTCCACTCTACTGACTGTTGCAATGCAGTTTTGTGTGATGCAGTGCTCTTGGTAGCTTTAGGTTGCAGTGCACTCTGTGGATCAGTAATTTAGTCGCTTAATGTGCAAGTTACATTCATACATGAACAAGTCTATCTTCCAAATTTATTTAGTGTGTATTTAGTTGAAATCAAAGAAATTCGAACTATTCAGTTGTTTATAACTCCTGTTTCCTGCAAGAACAAAAACTAGTGATGGAACTTTCGTGGCTTATTTTTCTGGTTAATGTTCAGCAAATTTATAACTCCGAAATGTCTTCTTGACTTTGTTGAAAATAGTTGCATTCATTTGATGCCATACCTTGAATTTATAAAAAATGAAGTAGGATTTTCTCAGATTATTTGAAAATGTGAATAATTTCTTTAAATTGGGGAATAACCAGTTGACATAATTTGCTGTAGCGTGTAGTCATCAGATAAAATCAAGTCACAAGTGTTGAAAAGCCTCAGTGTATCTCTTCTATAAAACGACATGCGACTGGACTACTTCTAAAGCTTCACTGATAACCAGTATGTAACAAAATTATATTTGTCATCCATCTTTGGAATTTACATGTCGTGTTCCATTGTTTCGAAATGGATTGAATCCCTAGCTCGGCTAGGAGAGCAAATGCTTCACCACTTAACAGATCATGTAACATAACTCGTGTCAGGAAACACTTCTTGGCAGTTCGCCAACTTTC